CGTGGATGCGACTTGGGTATGCTTAGTCTGCCAGTTGTTCGCACAAATGCTCGCGGTGACGGGTGCTTCTGATGTTGCTAGTCTCTAGCAAACGCTTGGTAGCTAGCTAGACAAAATCACCAAGCGAGTGAGTGTGAGTCAACACGCAAACGACTTGGCCCAATCGTTCGGTAGCTAAACGCAATCAGCACACGCATAGCGCAAGCAGCAATCCCCGACCACGGTCTCTTCGGGGCCACAACCAGTTGTACAGAAGACCCTGTCAAGTGCGCTGCGCGGAGCAATCTTTTTTTCTTGAGTCGTGCTCAACGCTGAATGAACCCTAGAAGAAGGTACCAAGCCTGAGCTCGATTTCCCATTGGCGTGAGGCATTGGAAATGCGATCATGCATTCATTGCAGTCATTCTTCGCTACCGTGGGTGTAAATGGAGACAACCACTTTAGATGAACAGCCTAGCAAACCACCATCACTAGATGTTTATGTTCCAATGTACACAAGGTTCTTTTGCGAGCAGACCTCTTAGGCTTGAGCGCGAAAGATAGACAAGTGGAAATGCGGAAGTTCGGAAAGTGGGGGAGAGGTTTGAACACGCTGCTGGACACGCAGCGCGATCGTCAGCTCTACTCATCGGTATCGAAGGGATATGCGCTGCCCGTTGTGAATCGGTCATAAAATCACCGTGATATTCCATCGCGACTTTGCTTTCCGGGTGGTGTATGGGTTTTCGTCATAATGCAGCTGAGTTAGTCACATATTACTACAAGCGGTAAGAAGGGTTCTCAGTGATCTCACAAACCTCCACATCAGAGTGACGAGTGGAACAGTGCCCGAATTCAGGGTCGTGACAGTTGCATCACAGATCTGCATTTGAGACTCGAGGCGTGTGGGGCCGCTAAGAGAGCGTTTTCAACGTTCTTCCACCATGGCGGAACACGATAGTGACGCGGACCCTGCGCGCGTTCGCGGTGGTGGGTGATGGTCTGTCAGCCTTGCCGTGGCGTAGAATGACATGTTTAGAGGCAGTCTAGATTAGAATACGGGTGTAAGTATCAGGCATATCCTGACATTGGGCGAACGCAAGTCTTGGTGCGGTAGGTTTTCGTGTGGCGTTGCAACGACGTAATAGCGCTGCAATGCCCCGATCGCGACATTTTCGCGAAGGTACTGGATGCGCTCAAGATGAGGGGAAACATGGCAGGATTAGTGTCTTCAGAGAGGAACAGCGGCCGGAGTCACGATAGGTAGCTCGCGGGGTCGGGCTCTGAGCCGAAGTTTGGTTATCAGATGCGATAACCGCCGAGAGACCGAGGACCGGGCGGCGTGACAATGGCATGTTACAGAATTTGTGCGACTATGTGCCGAGAAGGCCTGCGCTTCAGCTCATAGTGGTTGCGGTGAAGGCTGGTGGTGTAATATAACGCGTTCGGTGAGCACCATGATCAGGAGATTGGGCTGGTGCGGTGGGCGCAGCCAAGATGGTCGCAAGATGGTTTGATCTAGGTCTATGTCGGATAAAGTAGGACATGACAAGTGGGAATACGAGCGGTTTCGGCGATGGGGCGCTGACAAGCGTCATTCGGCAGAAGTGGGCGTTCGGGATGCTCATCTCAGCCTTGAAGGCGTCGTTGATCGGCAGTAGGAAAAGCGTCCGGGCGCGGCCTCTGTCGAACATTTGTCCATCACCACCAGGCCTCACCTCATGCCCACACCCTCTGCCACGGCTAGAATCCGCCCAATACGAATTTATTCACAGTCACTATTCATCGTGTCACCATTCTCGGGAATTCGCACGCGGCTGCCACTCGGTCGTGTTCGTTTGCCAGCCAGTCGAGGTGAGTGATGCCACGATCTGATAAGAAATTCGGTTGCATCAAAGCATCAGATAACCACCACCATCCCCCACATGCTCTGCGGTCGCACATCTCCGTCGTCCGCGGTTCAACAAGCAAGTGCGCCATGCACACCCGCACCGCGCCTTGCTGTTGCATTGAATTCCCCATGACCATACCAAGTCAGCTCTTGCTAATCATGGTCTGCGCTAGCAGTCCCCTTTGTCGCGTCCCCGGCAGCACGCCCATCGCTCCTTCACCTCACTCCACGCAGGCACATGGCAACCTCGACAGCCACCATGCCCAGCCCCATCCCTACCACGGCGACTTCACACCCTGACGACCCAATTCCTGCCGAGCCAAAGGATATCCCACAGCTCTCACTCCGGCCCTCGCCGGCACAGTCGCAGCCGGAGCAGACCTCCCCCAAATCTTCAGGCGAGTCCACACTATGGACCACCAGCAGCGATGAGTCTGAGGCGCCAATGACGCCAATGACGGAGCCCGATCAGGGTGTTGATGAAGTAGTCGATAAACTACAGGAACTGCCTACCTCGGCTGTCAATTTCTCTGGGCAGACGCGTCCTCGCCGCGCATCTACCACGCTCATTTCGGACAACCCAAACGACATCAGACGGATACTGGGCGAGGGTGAGACGGCCACCAAGCTCATCAGCCAGTGCTGCGGCGGAGGATGCTGTCTGCTCAAGACACTGGCCCCGGACTCATCGTCGCCCAACTTCATACCCGTCGTCGTCCCCGACAACCATGCCTTCCGGAGCCTCAACCTGCAACTGGGCCCGCTCGCCCTCGACAGTGAGCTCACCGACACAATTCCGCTCCCTCCCGCCAACATGTCCTTCGAGCCTCTGCCGTCCAAGGACACCAAGTACGTCTCGCAGGTGCACAAGACGCCGCCCAAGTACGTTCAGCCACACCCGCCCTACGAGGTCTACTCGGCGCCGCTCTACCACGCACGCGAGTTGACTAAGCCGGGCGCTGAGAAGAGAACCATCCACTTCGACATTGACGTTACCGACTACCCCGACGAGGGAGGCGTCGACTTCAAGGTTGGTGGTGCCGTTGGCATCTGCCCTCCCAACTCGCAGGAAATGGTCGATGAGCTGTTCGATCTCCTCTGCATCCCCAAGTTTGTCCGCGACAAGCCAGTCACAATCAAGACGCAGACTGGAAGATGGCCGACCATCTGGGGCGAAGACCAAGCGCGCGAACTTGTCACAACCAGACGCGAACTGCTGACCTGGTGTGCCGACATCCAGTCGCACCCGCCCACCAAGAACCTCCTTCGCGTGCTCGCCGAGTATGCCGAAGCCCCCAACGAGAAGAAGATCCTGACATACCTCTGCTCAGCCCAAGGACAAGCAGCCTTCTGCGATCTCCGTACTACTTCTCATTTCACAGTCTCACAGATGCTCAGCGCATTCCCTTCGTCGAAGCCGCCGCTACCGCACCTCCTCTCTGTCCTCACCCAGCTGATGCCTCGATTCTACTCCCTCTCGAACGATCCTCACATCTCGTCGGCGCGCCCCGGCCTACCCGGTACTCGCCGCCTCATCGAGATGGCCGTCACAATTCACGAAACACCCGATTGGCATGCTGAGGGTGCTACACGTACTGGTGTGGGCAGTGGCTTCATGGAGCGCATGGCACACGCTTTTATCACAGCCGAGAATGAAGGTGTCGATCCCCGCAGCATTCTCGATCTGCGCATCCCCATGTTCCGCGGACTCATGGCGAACCCTCTGTCAAAGCAATTTGGTGGTGAAGGCCCCATGGTGCTCATCGGAGCGGGAGTTGGCATGGCTCCTTTCCGTGGTTTCATCCTGAACCGCCTCAAGAACGCCAACTGCGCCAACAAGATCTGGCTCATCCAGGGTGTTCGAGACTCTATGCTCGATGAGCTCTACTCCGGTGAACTAGGCGACCATGAACGCGAAATCAAAAAGGTCGTCCAGAGCCGGAAGGTTAAGGTGGGAGGCTCCAACGAGGTCAAATACGTCCAAGACGAGGTGCGAGTACAGGCTGATATTGTCTGGTTCGTCATAAATGCTCTTGACGGACGTATCTTTGTCTGTGGCTCTAGTAAGGGCATGGGCGAAGGTGTCGAAGAGTCCCTGATCGATGTTGCGATGCAAAAGGGCCGCCTGAGCGAAGCGCAAGCGAAGGAGTTCTGGGCCAGGAAGAAGGAGGACGGACAGTACATTGCCGTAAGTACACTCTCCAATCGTGCCTTCCTTGCACATACTAACGAACACGCAGGAAACATGGTGAACATGCCCTCTCTGAACATCTGTACATACAGTTACGGCTTCCGTTTCACGACCGCGTCTCTATCCTTATCGCTACCACATTGCCACGGCGTTCGAACAAAAGGTGCCCTTTACAAAACATATGGGCAGAACAAACATTGGTACGCACTTTCAGTCGAAGTTGGCTGTTCATGGCCTCTTCGTTTTCTGGGTTGGGATATTCGTCATTACATTAGAAGGACATGCGCGCAAGAGCATGGCGTTTGTCAAAGGCTGGGAACAGGCAATTTGTTTGCGTTATTACTATTGTCAAATCTATATCATCATATCACACATTGTTGATAGTGGGAAGAGAACGTAATGAAAGATGTTATTACAAGTTGTGGTCTTCTGGTGTCGAAAGGTTGGTGCTTGAGTAAAAGATGGTATCTTCCCAGTGCATTTGACAGTATTGATAGGGGTAGCTACCGTTTATGTCGCATCATATGAAGGAATTTCTTGAGGTAGAAGTATACGTTACTTCGTGAACTATCTACTTGTCAGAATTTAATACAACGTACGCCCCACGAGTCCTGGCCACCTCTAGTAACATACGCTTTAACGAACGTGCACTGTGCGCCAAATCACGCTTTGTCATGAATTTAATGAGTTGATAGAGCCTATCTACAATGCAACAGTCTGGGCTGCGCATCACATGTTGATCGTAAGCCTTGGTTTCAATGTGTCTCAACCATGGTTCTCAACGTTCGCTACTCTACAGCGTTTTGGCATTGGGGTATAACGAGTTCAATCACTTACTTCGCATCTACCAAAACAGCATCGTTCCTCTATTCTTCCACTCTCCATAACGACTAGGAACTCTCATTCGATACGCGTTCCTAGGAAACATTATCCTCTAGCATGGCAAGCCAACTCCCAGACGAGGTCCTTCTCCAGATTTTGCACTACCTCCCCAAAAGTGTCAAGTACCCTAAGCCGCAAGCCGACTTACTCAATGCGCTCTCGACGTGCAAACAACTGGCACCACTTGCCCGAGAGGTTCTCTTCTGCGCACCAATACTGTACTCAAGCAAGGTCGACCAATTTCTCGCTTCACTCTTCCAGTACCCAGACCTGCGATACAAGATCCGCAGCTTGACCATCGAAACGGAAATCCGTGGGATGTGCATAGGACCGAACCCTATTCCAGCACTCGACTCGGAGCTATTATCGAAAGCCATCAGCCATATCAGCACATTAGACATCGATCCTCTGACGAAACAACACTTTACCGAATCCCTCCATGCCGGAAACGAATACGACGGGCCTAGCATCCTCCTCAGCCTCGTGCTGACCATGCTACCCAATCTACAGGAACTGTATCTCGGGGGCTCGATACTGTACAACTTTCCCTTCCTCCAACCCCTGCTCTACCATAGCAGCCTCTTTCCAGCCTACACCCCCGATCTAGGCCCTCTCCTCCCTCTCTTCAGCCACAAACTTACGGTCCTTGAATTACCCAACGACTTCCGCACCTCGCCTTCCAGCCGGTCCGATTATCGAGGCTCTGTGCATGGTATCCCGAAGTACTTCCCCGCGTTGCGCACGCTTGTGCTGCCGAGTGACAATGTTGTATATGCGTACTACAAAGAAGTCGTGCCGTCCAAGCTCGAACGGCTTATCTTGACCGACTGTCTCGGTAGGGAGGCAGAAAGGTGGGTGAAGCATGTAGCCAGGGCAAAGACAACGCTATTTCCCGAACTAGCGACAGTGAGTTTGTATCACTGCTGCCCCGGCAATGCCGCTAGAATGGCGTCGCGCGAGCTTATGAAGGAGATGGGTATATTGTGTAAGTTTTCCTCTCGATCACGATTTCGCGGTCGGCGTTTTTCTAACAGTGTCCGGTAGTCTACCAGTATATTCCTGTCCTTCATCTCTGGAATACTAATGAATTCTTCCATCCTTGGCTGTATAGTGGTATTGAGCTTGATCTTTCGGAAGCGACCATGGATGAGAAAGAGCGTAGGTGGAACAAGGTTAAAAGGGATGAGAAGAAGAAGCGAGAGGCTAGGAAAATTGCATGGGGCGGAGTTACAGGCGTGCGGAACCACACGGCATCGTAGAAAGGATATGCGCCTAAAATCTTTTTTCCGTAACAGGAGTTTATCATCAGTAAAGCCAACGTATCGTTAACGTAATGTTTCGTTAGTACACCCGCTATGAGCAGACTGTACCAATTCTATCCGACACCAGGCCAACCTGTGCACAGTCAGTTTCCAAATCCTTTTGTCGAAGCTATCATCCAAAAACTTACTCCAAACCGTCGGCCCATCATTAACCTTGGTAACATTGACCCGATCCCCCACCCTCCACACCTCCTCCCTGCCCTTCCCCCAAAACCCATACCGCCCAAACACCGGACTCCACTTCGCTCCTACATCAATCCTGCGATCCTTCTGCAACCTTTTCAGTACCTCCCCACTCGGGCCTTCCCCCGGTTTCCCCGTCTTGTAGTCAATATTGATACTCTTGCACCTCACACAGTTATGCGGAAGAAGGATCTCCGTACCCCCTTTTACCGTAACTTTACCCCAGTAATCTTCTTCATACGGTTCATACGCGCCCTCCACCACGATATTAGGACGGAACTTCTCGATATCCATGGCCATTCCCTCAGGTAGCCGGGACGAAACATCATCGAGACTCGTCTGCGAACAGAAGAGATACGGGGCGCAGTCTGCGAAAGTGATCTTCCAGGAATCTTCTGCTGATGGTTTGTGCAGGCCCATTGCTTTCTCGACGTAGGAAGTAGTAAACGGGACGTACTTGGAGAGAAAACGGGTTAGTGGCGAGGGTTCCGCGGGTTGCATGTCTTGGAATTGAACGGTGCGTCGGTTGGCTCCTAAGTAGACGAAGATGACTGGGTAGCCGAAGCAAGATGTGAACCAGTCGTTGTACTTTTGGGGCATTAGGAAGGCGGACGTGGGGCTGGAGTGCATGTCGATGTTGATGGGGGATAGTTTCTCTGTGTCGGGTTCTAGTGGAATTTGAATCGATGTTGCCTTTGATGAGACGCCGTACGCGATGTGTTTGACAGTGATGGTGTCGCTAGTCATTTCTTGCAGGAATTGCGTCATCTCGGGGTATTTGGCTACCGCCATGTTCTTGTAGCCTTCTTCGGTTTTTTGGAGTAGCATGAAGGAGCCTTGATAATGTTAACATTGTGCCAGTGTACAAAGGATGTGGGAAGTGTACGGTCGTGCTTGAAACCATGAGCGGTGGCAACGGCTTCGGTGACCTTGACGGCCCGCAGGGACTTGATGGGGTAGATATATATCTAGCCGTGCTGTCATCAGCACACGATCTCAACCATCTCATCATCATCATCCAACATACCGCTGAGATCTTCATAGCCGTGAACCGCTGCATCAACGGGCTAAGAAGGTTGAGCAGTTGATACATGCCAAATGGCACCACGCAAAGTGCCGTGATGATCCATATCGGCGACACCTTCTCTATGTTGAAAGTGTACTCTTCCTCCATACTGGGCAATCAATTCGGAAATGTTGAGAAATGGAAGCGACGGTGGTCTTGGAAGTTGATGTGGTTGCGGTTGGAGATGCGCCTGACCCACGTGTACGCCTTACCAAGGCGCCAAGACATGTCAAACCTACTTAGTAACCTCGGTCATCGGTCATCATCGAACCTTCAATGGCACGCAGTGGCGTCAGTACCATACAACAGTCGGAAGAAAGTTGCATTGGTAAACACGTTATTAAGTACTCAAGGCCGAGGTGGACCCCGGTACCCAGATGTTCGCAGTTCAAAGCAATGCCGGCTTTACTGTGTCAACTATACAGAAACCGCTCTCGAATAGCTTCAATGAGTTTGTTTGATCTTGATTCATCTAGCCATAATCCTACATTCTGGACCCTTACACCCTCTTTCCGAAAACTCGGAACCGCTTCACACCCCCATCCGGAATAATCACCAACTTCGCATGCGTGTAGCCCCTGCCAGCCACCTCCTTAAGCTCAGCCTTATATTCATGCTCCTTATCCGGACCCGTCTTTTGCGGCTCCAAAACCTCAACCCACTCCTTATCATCATGAGCCGGATCCTTCTCAAAGCTTCCAGCAAAGACCTGCACCTTTTGCGGGAAGTTACCCCTAAAGTGCGCAGTGTCGACAACAACGTGATCGATCTCGCCCTTTGCGCCTAGCCTGACAATCGTCCAGTCGACGTGTTCGCCACGCGTGCGCTTCGTTTCCCAGCCGTCGCCCATGTCTTTTCCGCGACCGGGGAGGAGGAGATTGTCTTTTGTGCCGAAATGTTGGTCTGAGCATGATGTTGCGACGCCTCCCATGACTGTTGCTGAGAGCTCGAAGATGGCATCTGCGGATTGGGGGAACACGGGCACGGCGACACCGTAGAGGCGGAAACGCGCAATGCCACCGTCGGGGTACATTAAGAGCCGGACGTGAGTGTACGCCTTGTCTGTGATGCTGGCTAGCTTCCATCCGTGCCTTTGGCTAGGCCCGCACTCTTGCTTTGACAGGATTGTCTCCCAACCCTGGTAGCTTGGCTTCTTCACCTCCTCTTCCTCTTTCTCGTCCGTGATAAAAGCACCCTCAACGGCAATTTCTGGTGCATGGTTTCCGTTGAAGTGTGCCGTGTCAATTTCTACACCCGCTACTTTTCCGCTGGCGGTACCCAGTCTCAGTACCACCCAGTCGGCAGGTTCGGTGTTGTGACGTCGGGTCTCCCAACCGTCATACCAAGCTCCCGTATGTACAAAGACACCAGGTTTACGGACTGCTGGAGTCGGCGTTATGAGATTCTCGGCTGCAGCGAAGTATTCATCACTGAAAGAGAGGACTTTGGAACCAAGCGGTGCAGATATGAGATCTTAATGCTTGTTAGATCTTCTGTCGAAATGCGAGGGTTATGGGCTTCTCACCAGTGTATTGGGACTTGAAAGTACTATCGATCTCATCAATTGGTATCGATTGCGCAGTGTTTGTGGCCACGCTTTTGACATCTTCTGGTGAAATGGTGCGAATCTCCATTTTGAGAGTGTGATATGCAAGAAGAACGAGAAGATAAATGTAGTACGCTGAAGAGAGAGAAAAGTAGGAAGTTTGTTTTGGGATTTGGCTGACTACCAAGAAGTTATGGCGGGGTGGTGGAGTGGTGGGGTAGCCAGACCCTGCGTGCCAACAGCTGCTGCTGCTATCGGAATCCGCCGATGCTTCCGCCGACTCGATGGATATTGACGGGCCGATCACGGAGTGATACCGATAACTAGATAGCTACCTTACATAAGACTCTCATTATCGACAGTCATTCCATGTATTGCTTGAAAAGTGTTTGACTCCTCTCGCTGTGAGATGGGCCGATGCTACAGTAAACGCGCTGTTTGCCCGGCGGGCCGCACGATAGGGAAAACTTGATGTGTCCGTAGTTGACGCGAAAGATTGAAGTAATGGTAAACAGATCTATGCATACCCTGATACTACGGTAATATCCAACTTGTGTGCTGTTGCGCCCTTCACCCCCCAACGGAATCAGCATCGTTCTTGCGGTTGCAGCGGAAACAGTATGTCTGCATCCTCAGATCTAGTTTGCGTGCCGTAGGGTAGTTGATAGAGTATTCCTCTTTGGACCGTTTGTCGGACCGGGTGCCACGTGTGTATCCAAATCATATGCGGCAATGCAACAAAGAACGCGACGGTCAGCAGCAACGAGATGTTGTAGAACGGAACTTGAAAGAATCCGGTCTTCGTCTCAACCAAGCAGTGTGGACGCGACTACCAAAGTCTCAATTAGCAGGGTTCTTAATACTGCCGATCTTCATCTTCACCCATAGCTCGGATCGTTCCACTGCGTCTCTGAATAGTAGGAGCTTCCATTCTTATTGTTGCCTCCATTTAAGTCCAACTTGGCCATAAACTCGGGGGGTACGGTGGGAATGTATTTCCGCTCTCGTTCTTTGTTAACACCCCCGAATCCGGCACCGTAGGTGATGAGCATGTCCGTTGACGTTGGGAGTGAAAATGGCAGCATGTACGACGGGTCCAAGAGAAGCTCGTCCGGTGGCTCGTCCTTCTCGTCTTCTTCCGACATGCGCGAAGGCGCAGGCGATGGTTCGACAGGTTTATCGGAAGTAGGCCTGACAGGCGTGGTTGGTACTGATTCCGATGCTGGCGGTGGATTGGGCGACTTTGTGCGTGCGGCTTTACGATCAGCAGCAGCTTTTTGCAGATGTACAATGTACTTGGAAGCGCTTTTCGGAAGGCCCTTCTCGCCCACTTCGGGCCGGTAATATTTCGCGGTGTGTAGTAGCTGTTGGGGCGACAGACGTGTAAGCTGTTGCAGGGTACCCACGAGCGACTCTAGGTCTTCCCCGAGTGAAGAGAAGCATTGAAGCCATTGTAGAAGTTGCACTAGAGGCTCGAGATGCCGTTTAGCAGCGTCCGCGGTGTTCTCTCCGGTAGAAGTCATGGAGCCGTTCTCGTAATGTTCGGGTTGCCGGTTGTTGGAACGAGCCCAGTCTTCGAGCGTCGAGACGTTCATGCGTATTTGCATAGCTTTTGTCCGCGCAAGATACTTCCGGTTCGACATTATGCGGTTAAAGACTTCGGCGGAGAGCCAGTAAATGAGCTGCGATAGCACCTGCGCAGCAATGACAGAGTGCACATCGTACAGATCAAGGACGAAGAGGGTGGATGATAGGAGAGAAGTGATGTTTCGCGGCGATGGCTGTGCTCTGCGCTTTGGAGATGGCGGTCGGAAGCGTTTCTCGAGGGGTTCTAATGGCTTTGCCTTGGGTTTGGAACGAAATATTTTCCATTCGTGTTGGAACTGTACGTCTTCGAAACCAGGCATGGGCTCATGGTCGAGCATTGCCTGGTCCAAGTTCTTGTCCATCCTTCGCTCAGCGTCACGGATGATCAAGATGAATATCTCATTGATAAGTTCTGCCATCTGCAGTTGAAACTCAGTAGTCGCACTCGTGAGCCCGCCGTCTTTCTTGAGGTAATGTAAAAGCAGTGTCGCATTGGACATCCAGAAGGCCAGCACAGTCATATCCCACTGGTGCTTTTCTACAACGTCGTTTATCTTGTTCATGGCAGATACCAGCAGGGTCTCGAGAAGTTCCGGGTTCGCATGATAGTGTGCGTAGCGTGCACTCAGGAAGAGTATGTTTGCGGGAACTGGCTTTTGCGACGGAGAGCGCTGCGGCGTCATGTTTGTGATGATAATGTCCAGTATACGTTCCAGCTCGCTTTCTTGGAAGACAAACATCTGGTCGTTGAGACACCTGTCCCAGATGAACTCCTGCGCTTCTTCTTCTGGCTCTTCAGGTGACTCGGGCTGCTCGTCCAAGCCAAGGTTGCCGATGTCAACCTCGAGATTGAACGCACTCTCCATCATCATGCGCCGTTTCAAGTCGTTCTCCTGCATTTCTTGCTCAAAGCGGTCCTGAGAGAATCCAGAGCTGTAGAAGTCGTCACCAACACCAACGTTGCCAATCGCGTATCCGCTCTCGTGTAGATAGTCGGACAGCTCGGTGTTGGGCTCGACGAAATCGAACGCGGTCCTTCCTCCAGAAGACTTGACATCTGTCGATGCACCGTGGTCGAGCAGAAGTTTGACGATGGCCTTGTGCCGGTTTGTCATGGCCCACATGAGCGGCGTCCAGCGATTCTTGTCCTGCATATCAACAGTTGCGCCCTGCTCGAGAAGTGTAGCTGCCACGTCCTCGTGTCCAAAACAGCTTGCGTAGACTAGTGGCGGCGTGCCTTCGGCGTCGACGCCGTTGATGTTGATGTATTCCCGCGTTTTCCCATCCAGCAGCCGCTTCACTCTTTCCAGCTCGCCATTCGAAGCGGCCAGTGTAAAAAGCCCCTGTAAAGCCTCTTTCTTTTCCTCGTGTGACAACTTGTCGTCGGCGACAACCTTGGCCTCGTCGCCTGCATTGTCGTTCTTGAGGCGCGCTTGGTGGGCCAGCATCTGCACTAGGCGACTATCGCTGTCCTCGAGCTGCTGCATGTCTTCGTCGCCAAACGTCGGGTCGTCGAGCGAGAGGTTGAAACTGAGCGGGCGGGCGGGCATGGGGGTGGTGAGAAATTGCGACTGCCCTAGGCGACGTCAGTTCCCCGTGGTTCATTGCGCCTTCCCTGTCCGACACTTACCCTGCCAGGCGTCGTAGATCTCGGTTTCCTCATTCATGATGGTGACAGGTCGCCTGTCATTGAGGGAAGTGGGCAGGTCCGAGGGGAGTTGTCGTGGCCTCATAGGTTCCCCAAGGTCGCCTGAATAGGCATGCTCGTGGTCGGGCGAGTCCATTGTGTGACATTGAATAGGGTGGATGTGGAAGGATGTTGTTTGCTATGACAGCGGCTACCTCTGCGGAAGATGCATGTGTCAAATGTCGAGGGATGCCCGGTCGCCTGTGGTGGGGCAGCTTCAGTCTAACGGTGGCCGGCAGGCAGAGGGTGCTATGGGGGCGAAAGTCGGTTGCAGTGGGAAATTGCGACTGCGCGTATTGCTGACCCGCCCGGCGGTTGTCGTAATAATGCAGCGTCGGTATGCAGATGATGCAGACGGCACTACTGGCCCTGAACCACGATGATGTCGCTACCAACGGCTCCAGCCCGAGGGCTAACGCGCCAGGCCGATCTTCCGCTATGCCAGATACAGCCGTCCCAACTTGCGCGGGGGATGCTCCGCGTGCCAGCCACACATGGTCCACGTTGATATTCGCTGCAGATGCGTGCTTGGTTTTGGTTTCAGGGCGCGTTGGGCTGGGCAGGGAAACGTTACTTTTGCGTGCGGTGCGTTGGGCGCAAACTTCCGCTACAGCGAGCCCATGTCGACTATGACGTCTAAGACCAAGCGCGAAGTCTGAGCGCATCTTCGTAGTCCGTCTGCTGTGGCTGGAATGCCATCAGTAAGCACTCCACATGCGCGTCTGCTCCCTCTAGAACACTGGCATCAACAGCCTACCGGACTCTCCTTTACGCCCCTCCCGTCGCTCCCAATACTCCCGACGACCGCGCTCTTGACATGGCAGTCGCGCCCCGCTGATGCTGTGATGGATAGATCGAGCGCCTGGCGACTTTACCCTACATATTGATTATCTACATCCCACCCAGAGCATGTCTTAGATCCCTGGCGGTTTCGAACATCGGAAAGACACAATGACTCGATCGGAAGGAGGCGGGCGCACGCAGCACTTCTCGCACATCTTTGCGCGTCTGCAGGAGCTGCAGAACTATGGCTGGGACACGGACATTGAGCCCTTCCACTCAGTAAGAGGCGTCGCATAGCCTAGGTAGTCGCTGCACCATGCTAACGTCGAATAGTCGTATGATAACTGGCATTTCTTCGGTTACGAGAAGCAAGCGCCCCGGCAGGATCGCCCTCAGTCAAGAGGAAGGAGCGCCGTAACCTCCCCCACCTCTTTCAAGCTGTCGCATTCGCCCGACTCCCTGACCCGAAGCCGCCCAACCATAACACGCACTCACCGCAGTTCGGGCTCAGATGCGAGCGCCTCTACCGTACAAACACATCGCACCAACACCACCGCCAAAGGCGTGGCGAGAGAAGGCCGGACCGTCGTATGCCGTGTCTCGCAGCAGACTCTGCGCCTCGAACGTGAGTTCCAGCTCGCCAAACTCGTCGTCAAGGAGTCGGATCCAGAGTGCAAGCACTTTGTTCGGCCCATAGAGTTTGTGAGGCTATCGACCAAAGCCGGCGAGGAGCCTCTTGTCGCCAGCATATTCGAAGCCCCGGGGCCCAACTACCTCAACGACTTGGTCAACTTCGGCCCCAATTTCTGGAAGGTTGGCAGTCATGGACAGAGCGGTCAATCAGATGCTTCATTGCCCAACCGTGGAATACCTCTCCTTACCTTCCTCGACTTTGCCGTCGGATCAGTCGAGTGTCTGGAAATATTGCACCACGGTCACGAAATTGTCCATGGAGAAATTCGGGGCGATGCCTTCCATTTCGCTGAGAACGGGACAGTCAAGATGATCAATTTTGGATCAGGCGCACGATCTTTCGAGAACGGACTGACAAGCGCCGGTTGGAGTACCCTGTCAAAAGAGACTGGCATCGAATTGAAATTGGCCTTCATATCCCCTGAACAGACTGGTAGAATGCCCGCTGAACCCGACACAAGAACCGACATCTACAGTCTTGGCATTCTCTTCTACACGATGCTCTGCGGGCAGACGCCATTCGAAGGCGCTACGGCTCTCGATGTCATGCAGAACGTCATTAGCAAGCGAATTCCTCCAATTTCTTCCCGACGACTAGACATCCCAGAGGCTCTGTCTGAGATCATACAACGTATGACGCAGCGCAATATTGAGGAGAGATACCACTCTACTTCAGGCTTGAAATTCGATCTCTTTCGTATCCGCGAGCTTCTTTACGATGGAGATGTAGAAGGATTGAAGGCCTTCCATGTAGGCACCAAGGACATCAGTTGCTTCTTCAACTTGCCCCTCAAACTAATCGGGCGTGAGAAAGAACGCAAGACTATAGTGGACGTGATAGAGCGCGTAGCGAGGCATCGTCGGAGTAACGTCAAAGCGTTGCAGAGCCTGAGCTCAGGTTCCTCCTTTTCAGATCAACGACGAGACCTGCAATTTGACGACATCATTTCCGAAAGCACTAGCTCAAGAGGCTCCGACAGCAGGCTCAACAGCGTTTCGGCAGATGGTCCTGTATTCATGGAAAGCGCTCGGTCGATGCAACAGGGCTCCCAAGATAGTGTGGCACAATCAGAATCATCAACGGCTGAAGGAAGTGTGGACAGTCGGCCCCAACTGCAATCCGCGAGCCGAGGCCGTTCCAACAATAGCATTGAAAGCACCGGACTCTATTCTCGCAGCCACCAATCCAATGATGGCCTAAGAACTCTAGCCAGCACGCGAAAACTAAGGCGCAAGGCGCGATGTGAGGTGATAGCCATCGCCGGTGCCACCGGGTTGGGTAAATCTCGTCTCGTGCAGAGCGTACAGAGCACAGCAAGGAGCACTGGCTACTTCGCTATGGCTAAATTTGATCCCGCCAAGAAAGCACCATTTGACCCTATTCTTCGGCTGATGTCTTCTTTCTTCCGCCAAATATGGTAAGTCTCTTTGAGAACTACTCTCAATGCTCGCAATTGTACTAACGTCGGCCAGTATGTACAGTCATCTTAGACATTCCTGTTCCCCTACAGCAGCTACTAACTTATATCTCTCTGTCTAGTCAGTGAGGCGGACGTAACAACTGAATTTCACCAGAGATTGCGCCATTACCTCAGGAACAGTGGAGTTTGGGCGGTGCTACGAACCTACCTTGATCTACCGGAATGGCTCTTGAACACGAACGGAAAGAGCCCGCAACAGAAGGACACGGAGCCCACTAAGGATCTGACTCGACGGGCATCATCTCCTGCCGTTCACTGCGGATCAGCTGGACATACCGCCGAGGCTTGGCTACGAAGCGGAGGTGCTTCGAAATCTTCCAGATTCATGAATGTCTTCATAGATGTTCTACGACTCCTGGCAATGCACAAGCTCTGCACATGGAGTTTGGAAGATGTTCAGTATGCCGATCCCGAAAGCGCTGAGCTGATTCATCACATCGTGCAAGCCAAAATTCCGCTTGTTCTCATGCTCACGTACAGCGACGAAGAGACCCTACCCCGAGAACTCACCCCGCTACTGCGTCACGCTACTAGAGTACAACTTCTTCCTTTTGTAGAGGCCCAGACGGCCGACTACGTGGCTGAGACGCTACACCGGGACCATCAGTATATCCTTCCTCTAGTAGCGGTAATTCAGGAAAAGTCTCGAGGCAACCTCTTCTATATACGCGAGATACTAGACACTTGCTATCGGAAACGTTGCGTGTACTACGAGTGGCGGGAGAACACCTGGGTTTTCGACTTAGACAAAGTCTTCGCCGTTTTCGAGAGTCCAGAGTATGGATCATCCGTTACGACTGACTTTATAGCAAAGCGGTTGACAGAATTACCATCTTCCAGTAGGAAGCTCTTGGCGTGGGCATCCCTCCTGGGTGGTACTTTCTCGTTCGAACTTCTGAAGAAGCTCCTTCAGCCTACAAACAAGCCCGCAGCTCATGGGAGGCTACCACTTTTCGAGAGAGACGAGTCTGCCGTCACAGCTCTTGATGCAGCATTGAAAGCCTACGTACTCATGCCTGCTGAACAAGATGCTCGATTCAGATTCAGTCACGATCGGTACCTTACAGCGGCTGTGAACTCCCTCGACAAGGAATGGGATACACAGTTGATGCACTTCACCATTGCCAAGATGATAACTTCCGGCGAGGAGTACAACGACGACTCAACTTCAGGTTCTAAGGCGTTGTACATGCAGAGTCGCCACATCTGTCTCGCTGCAGAACTGATCAAGACCAAGGAAACAGTGCGAGCTCCATTCCGTGATATGCTATATCAAGCTGGAGAAACTGCATGCGAGTCGGGTGCGCGATCAACTGGCATCTACTACTTCGCACATAGCCTCATGCTTCTGCAAGACGATCCATGGGACGACAATAGGCCGGACGTATCCTACCAAGAGACGTTGCAACTCTTTGTGCGCTCGGCAGAATGTTATTGGCATCAGGGCATGTTCGATGAGGCTCTTAGCTTGATCCGGACGACCTTCCAGCATGCCCGCGATCCCTGCGATATGGCTAGTTCGTTCATTCTACAGTCTAGGGTGTTCGCTATTCGCGGCGACAGTTTCGGGTAAGTAATGTTCCACATCCCTTCGGTGCATGCGCCTGGAGCAGGTTTCACTCTTGCAAGATAGCATGACCTTTGGAACTTGCATGTGTACCTGTCGCCTTTCATCACTGCAACTATCGCGACAGTCAGCTAACGACATCACCATCTATAGTGCGTTCCAGGCTCTCAAAGATTGTTTGTCTTTGCTCAATTCCCCTATTCCTCCGACAACATGGGAGGCGTGCGATGCTCAGTTCCAGCAGATATATGGCACGCTTCAGAACATCGACAAGGAAGAACTGCTCAAGCGGCGTCCGTCTCCTGATGACCGTGTCCTGATGACTATTGGACCTGTCTTCATCGAACTCCTTAGTGCGGCGTTCTGGTCGAACAGCCTGCTTTTCTATCAGGCGACGCTGAAGCTTATCACCGTCCATCTCGAAAAGGGTACCATGTCACAGGTTGCCCTTGCATACGTGCATCTGGGCACTGTTGCGGGCGGTCGTTTCGGAATGACGAATTTCGCAGTCGACATGGGTGCGATTGCAAAGCGAATCTTTCAGATGGTAAGTTCTGGCTATACGAAGTGCACGTGAGATATATGCTGACTTCATACCTCTACCTCTGCAGTTTCCTGAAGACTACTACACCCTGGGACGAGGTCAAACTTTGCAGCCAATGTTTCTGGGTCACTTGGAAGCGCCTGTAGGCGATCTCATACCGAGCTTAGAAGCAGCCTTGCAGGCTTCACTAACTGCTGGCGATCGCATCCTCACACTTCTAAATCTTGGTGTACAGGCTCACTTTAGGGTCATGGCTTCATACGACGTCGCAGAATTGGAAGCCTGGATTGAAGAAACACCGCTCGATATGCGAAATTGGCAGAAAGACATGCGTGGAGGAGTTTTTCTCATGGCTGCTCGTCAATATGCAAGAGCGCTCCAGGGAAAGACTGACTCAAGCAACGCTCTTTCCCTCCTCTCGGATGACGATCACAATGAGGTCGAGTACATTGAGTTCCTCGAAAATACGGCCAGCAATCCCAAGCGTCCCAAGTCTATATATCTTGCAACCAAACTTCCGTTGTTGGTACTCTATGGTCATCATTCGAATGCAGTGGCTCTTGGGGAGATGCTACTGCCAATGCTGAGCAGTCTCTGGTCAGAACGACTCAATTACTCGGTCCGATACTACTTATCGTTAGCATACATGGCTGTTCTTCGAGAGAAGCCCGCTCATAGCCGGAGAGACGAGATGGTAAAACACGTTCATGAGACCCTCAAATTGCTCGAGACATGTTGCACCACCACTGATGTCAACTACCGGGGCTGGATACATCTTCTCACTGCCGTCCTCGGGGATGTTAATGCCGATCCGCAATCCGCGCTGGAGAATTATGAGGCAGCCATGGAGCATAGCGAACGTTACGAGTTTGCATTGGACGAAGCGTTTGCTCTCGAGCTCTACACTGGATGGTTGGTAGACAAGAAGGCCTACAGGGCGGCCCGACACTCTTTGAAAGACTGCATCTCGGTATATCGGAGGATGTCAGCATACGGAAAAGCAAATCACTTCGCGAGTCGGTATGAGTGGCTAGTGCGTAGTGGCGCCTCGCTCACGACAGTGGACCAAGCTGTGCAAACCTCCCTCGTAGATACGGGTAACACGGCCTTCAGACTGGAGCAAAATGACCATGATCAATTTCTGGGCGCGGAGACTGCAGTCGATCGAACACAGAACTGGATTGTCCCGGAAACACGGCGCCAAGAGTCTGCTCCAGCTCTACACAACGGTCTCTCGGCTGTCGGTCTGGACATGCTAGACCTATCCTCAATCTTGGAGTCGAGTCAAGTCTTGTCTAGCGAGCTCGTCGTCGACAAGTTGATGGCGAAGATGAGTACCATTTTGCTCGAATCTACGGGCGGTACCTTGTGCGGCATAGTGATTGAAGACTCACAAATCGAATGGTCGATCGCATGCGTTGCCACCAACGAGCCTGACAACGACAGTGGGGTCTCTTCCGGCGTCACATCCTTCCCTGCTAGTCAACCTTTAGATACTGTGGACGATGTTGTTGCGCGGCAAGTGACGCTCTACACACTCCGCTTCCGAGAGATAGTCTTCGTCCAGAATCTACTAGAAGACGACCGCTTCTCCAACGTTTCTGACGCCTACCTCCAACGGAATCCCGAGGGGAAGGCAGTCATCTGCATCCCGATTCTGCACAGCGATCACCTTCTTGGTTCAATATACGTCGAGGGCCCGCCGAATTCGTTTACCGAACGTAACACCCAGGTGCTTCGGTTACTGGTGAATCAAATTTCCATCTCCTTAGCCAATGCACTGCTTTTCAAAGAGGTGGAAAGAGTATCCGCAAGCAACGAAGCCATGCTTGAGATGCAGAAACGCGCTTTGTCACAGGCGCGGGCAGCAGAGATCAAGGCGAAAGAGGCTGAAGCCATAGCTGTGCGTAACATGAAGCTGAAAGAAGAAGCCGCGAAGGCAAAGAGTTTGTTCCTGGCCAATGTGTCGCACGAGTTGCGTACTCCCTTGAACGGCGTGATTGGTATGTCTGAGCTGTTGAAGGCTTCACCGCTAAACTCGGAACAAACCGGATACGCCGATTCAATTCGTGTCTGCGCCGATACGCTGCTCTCGATCATTAACGACCTTCTGGATTACTCCAAGCTCGAGGCTGGCAAAATGAATGTCTTGGAGATGCCCATTTCATTGAGCGAAACAATTGCGGAAGTAGTCCGCGCTTTGGCCTACACAAACGCCGAAAGAGGCCTCAAAACCATTGAGCAATTGCATCTGGATCCAGAGATGCTCGTTATGGGCGACCCTGTTCGATTGCATCAGATCCTCATGAACTTGCTGTCCAACAGCTACAAGTTCACGCCACGAGGATCTGTCACTGTCCGCGCTGTTGTTGACCAAGAGACAGACGACTGGGCAGATGTGACATGCAGCGTTATAGATACTGGCATCGGTATTCCAGATGAACAGAAGCAGAAATTGTTCCTTCCTTTTTCGCAGATAGAGTCCAGCTCTGCTAGGAGCTACGGCGGCACTGGCCTTGGTCTGAGTATTTGCAAAGCTCTCATAGAGAACGTTATGCATGGTACAGTACGTCTCGACAGCCAGCCAGGCCAAGGTACAACAGTCACCTTTTCGTTGCGATTCAAGAAGGTGCCGAAAGCGCAAGCAGGCAGTCAGCAGCAAAGGACACGAGAGCCAGACCCTATGGCTAGGTTCTCAAGTCAGGAAAACAATGGCCATGAGCAACTGTCGGGTTCCTGCATCGATCTTTCCACGATACCCAGACGAGAACTACGGGTCTGCATTGCGGAAGACAACTTGATCAACCAGCGCATCGCAATCAGCTTCGTGCAAAAGCTTGGCTTCAAATGCGACGCTTATCTCGACGGATACAAGACTATCGACGCTCTTGAGCGTGCTTCGGAGAATGGTCGCCCCTTCCATCTTATTCTCATGGATGTGCAAATGCCGCATTGTGATGGCTACGAAGGTAAGGATTGCTACTCGCGCCTCGGCTAGCACCTGAATACTGACTATGTATAGCTACGAAACTGATCCGCAAGCATCCCAATCCCGAGATTCGAAATGTACTCATCATTGCCATGACCGCTTCCGCTATACAAGGAGACCGCGAGAAGTGCCTGGAATCCGGTAAGTTCTGGCAGCTTGCTCCACGTTTGAAACATACGCTGACCTAGTAGGTATGAACAATTACCTCGCGAAACCGGTTCGCGCGCAGACGCTCAAAGCGCTACTGGACTCGTACCTGAACAAGAACAAGGAGGTGGAGGAAATCCCCAATCTTGCGATCGAGGCGAAGAAGTTGGTCAAACAAGCATTGAACGAAGCTGAAGCGCTGCCTGATGTCACGAGTGGACACAAGGATCTCGAGAAAGACGTGCAAAATGGAAATGCTGCAGAAGACGGGAAGAAGCTGGAAAGGCCGTCCAGCGTTCGTATGAGCACCACCCAACACATATTACCCAACGGCAAGACGGAGCCTGTACCGCCTTCCGAGTAAACCGCATTTTCTTGGCCAATTTAAGGATTGACTGGTGGATGATTTGCGGCTTTTCGAGTTCCCGTTCGCGTTGTTATAGGCGGATCGTTCTTGCATCGCATGGCGTTACGCTCACTGAAGGAAATCAGAGGTGACTTCCTTCATGTCCAGGTACATCGTAGCATTCTCGCCGGCAGCGCTTGATGATCGAATGTTCGCTATAGTGCGAATTTGAATATACCCGTTCGTTCTGTTCATCGTGTTGACTCAATCTTCTTCCTGTCAAAGCTTCACCGTGCGGGGTTACGATACGATGCAATGACGGCCCAGCACGCACACTCTCAGAACAGACATTTCGACGCGTAAGCTCGCAGCACGAGCAACCTCACGGCATCATTGTGCTCGCCGGATCATCGGCCAAAGCACGACTTGGCGTCAGCTCCCTAACCAGCGTGTCGCCGTCCCCACTTTAATTAACGCCGAAAAATGCCGCGCACCCTGCGGCGCAGTGACTGAACCACGAAGTGGCTCATGAAGTGGCTCAACAAAGCGGTGGCACAGTCGCTGCCAATAGATCGTCACTAGAGTCAGCGTCCCGCGACACAACTTTTACACCTTATACAACACCGGTGGTGAGGATGAGTCTGCCCTCGCAGATCTGCATGTCAGAAAAGGGCTTGCGTCACCCCCTTCCCCCTTCTCGGCTAACGGGATGTGCGTTAATTGGGCGTGGGCGCTGGGTTAGCCGGCATCCACGGTTGAGTTTGTTGGCAGAGGGTTGAGTCTGTTGCCTTTCTTCCTGGTTTTTAGTTTTTCTCTTTCATGAGTTTCACTTCTTTCACCATACGTATGCTCTAGGAACTGAATATTCACAACGATACGCTTGATCACACCTCTATTGTTCTATTTAGACTAATCACTATCTTGACTACTCCACGAAAAGACAACTGGGTTGAATATTGACACAGACACCATGACACGACCATCTCTAGAATCCAAGCGACATCACACCTTCGGCCTTCATCGCAGCAGAAGCCACCTGTCCAGCAAACCATCCTCTTCACACCTCTTCGAAGGCACCGACGCTGTACTCCAAAAACGCAAAGTTGCTCTCCAAAAAGTCATAGACACACACCACGCTCTCGAACTGAAATACGGCCACGTCGCAACACCAACGAGTACCACCAGCGAACGGCCGACTTCATCATCTTCCTCGATCTCCTACGACCCTTTCACAACAGACTTCGGCGACCTATCTATACCCGACGCTGAAGTGCGCACCTTCCGCTACCTGCTTTACAGATGGGACCACGACAGCTACACGCTCGACCCGGAATTTGACAAGGCGATTGAGAGACGAAGAGAGAGCTTCGAAGAAGCGGCGATAAAGCATTTCATCAGCCGAGTTGCGCTGTGGGATGCCAGTGGGCAGGAGCAACAGACCCAGTCACGAAGCGTGTTCTCAATTTTTGGCAGGCGAAGGAGATCGCGGGCGAAGAGCGATGCGAGTAGGATGCTGGGAATTGCAGAGACGGCGAACGAGGATCCTGGTTTAGACGCGTTGAAGGAGGTTACTACGAGAGAGGGGTTGGCGCAACTACTATTGACGTTATTGGCAAAGGATGATGCGCCAGCAACCACGAGATTGAGAGAGGAGTGCAAGCAGGCAATACATGAGTGGTATCAGGTGAAGATCATCACAGATGGGTCGAGTGACAGTTAAGAGGAGGTGTCTTTTCATTGTCTAGTTGGACTCGGTAAAAGCCGTGGCTATCATACATTCAGATATACTGCATCGGTAATAAATCATGGCTTTCGGGTTAGAGGAATGTAAATTTGTGCAGATGTGACAAAGTCCATTGTTTTTGTCCTTGCTGTGCCCAGTGATGTCATTAGCACCATCCGCATGGTTCCGCTTCCGATCGGAACCAGTCCCGTCACCCATCTCAAGCTGTTGTGAAACGAACTCACAAACACGGCTACGTTCCATCCAACATGCCTTTCCTCCACGTCGGCTACAAACGCTTTCACTACACCGACTTGAAACCACAAGATGGCAAGACACGCGAGACACTCATCTTCATGCACGGGCTGGGCTCTTCGCAGAATTACTATCAGCCAGTAACTCTGAGCTTGGTCGCGAATGGATTCCGCTGCATTACGTTTGACAACACAGGGGCTGGTCGATCGACGTACACATTTGTCGAGCAGAGTATTGAGACGCTTGGAGAAGATGTCATTGGGATTCTGGACGCGCTGAACGTCGACAAGGCTGTGTTCGTTGGGCACAGCATGGGAGGGTATGTCTCGGGCAGAAAGAAGCCTTGGAAGACGCGACTGCAACGAACACGACAACTGACACGTCTCTAGCATCGTCGGCGCACACCTTGCGGCTGAGCGAAGTGACCGCATTGTAGCAGCTATTCTGATCGGCCCTGTATATCCCAACCCTGAGGCAGGCCCCCGCTTTCACGAACGGATAGAAACCGTTGCAAAAGACGGTATGCAACCCATGGCCGACAGCATCCCACATGCTGCAGTCGGGAAGAAAGCGTCTCCACTGGTCAAAGCGATGATCCGCGAGTTATTGCTATCGCAGGATCCAGCGGGTTATATTTCCAACTGTCGAGTCATTATCAATGCAAAGCCGCCTCAGTACAGCAAGATCAGCGTGCCCGTACTCATGCTCGCTGGCGAGGACGACAATAGCGCACCGCTTGAGGGATGCAAGAAGATGTTTGAAGAGATTGGTAGCAGCGAGAAAAAGTTGGAGATTATGGAAGGAGTCGGACACTGGCACTGTCTTGAGGCTTTTGACGAGGTTGCGAAATTGATTGAGGGGTTTTACCACGAGATACAATAGGCAATCCGTACAGGTTATTTCCGAACGACCCGCGGAACGGGGCACGCACTCACGGAACTGTAGGGTAGTGGAGAAGTTCTGCGTTCGTTTCATCGCACAGGCCCTCTTACTGCGAGTCAAAAGGGAGGAGTGTACCTGCCAAGTCATACCGCCTTTCTGTGATGCTTCGCACTGAGTTCGCAGTGTGCGCATTGTGCCTGCGTGGTGGAGTTGAAGAGGGGTTCGTGAGGATACCACGTGCGAGCCGATCTTCCAGACGACCCTTGCGATGACTAGCTTAGCGACAAAAAAGCTGCAATGCAGACTCATCTCCGCGTGCGAGTAGGACGCCATTGGTGGTGTTGTGCTGCCGCATGACATAGCCATTGGCGGCGTCCCTGGCCCGATCAGCTGCATCATCTGCATTGGATGTGGCCTTGGCGCATGGGTTCCACCCTCCAAAGAGCGTTTGCAGCGGATAACTGTAAGCAGTAAGGCAGCGGGCCGCGCACCCACAAGACATACATGTGGGAGTAAAGACTTTTACAGCCTCCCATTCGTGTAAGAAAGGGCTGTGGGAGAAATGGATGTATTTTAGGGTGGTGGTTCAGGGTTCTGCGCCGGTACCCGCCGCAGCGGTTTGGTGTAATCTTCCCTGACGCCCCTCTCAGCAATGCCCACGACGCCATGCGCAGCGCTTCATTTGGCATCCTTTACTTTTCAGGCTCGACATTTCCGCGTGCGCTTGCCTGAGTCGAGCGTGGGCCATCTTGGCCCGATGTCGCTGGCCTGTCGTTCTTTGATTTGATTCGGTCCTTCCCGCCGTCCGTGCTGCACTCCCAAGGTTGTGCCGGATCGACTTGTCGGTAGACGAGGCTGCCACTCGCGTCTATTCGACATGGCCTCGCGCCCTCCTTCCCTTATCACGAGCCAACCCGAAGTGATCAGCGTCCGAAGCTGTGTGTGTGGCCTCTCACGCGCAACCACATCACCACTGGCATGTGAAAGTCGACGACATCATACTTGAATGTTTCGTCCTCTGCCCCCCATGTGCGACTCTGATTGTGACATATTTAGTGCATCTGTCATGCTCCGTCTCGAACGCACGGAAGCTAGCGAAATCCTTCTCCAGTTTAATCGCGCCGCTAGTCTTTTCACGCGCCTAGTCTATTCAGGCCCCGGAAATCGAGTCCTGGGAGGCGGTGAACTCCCAACCCTTTTCGTAGAGGTGCCCACGCGCTCGGCTCAAACTCGTCAAGAGATCGTGCATGCCGTGCGTCTCGCTGCATGCTGGCAGGGTCTGGGCCAACCAACGGCCAAGATCGACATTTGGGACGTTTTGATCTCTTCTTTATATACTAGGCTCTAGTTTCCCTCCTACTGACCGCGGTTGATTCAATAGTCCTCCAGGCGGGTCCCGCGGTTCGTCACTTGACTGACCCAACAATCACTGGCGTCACATAGCCCGCCTGTGATTCCAGATTTCATTCTCTTATACCGCTTGTGTGTGCCGTTCGCGCGAGGAATCCAAATCTGTGTGTTTCGGTGTTGGCACTGGCTGCTGGTATGGGCTTTTACCCCTTGAGCACAGAACCTTCCTATTCCGATACTGATATCCGACCTAGACGAGTACCGAAATTATTCACCACTAAGACAATATTACCGATTCAATATCCTTTAAGACACCTCACATCTACGTCACTCCCCGTTCTCGATCTTTGATAGATCGGCGATGAATCGAATTGATAGTGTTGCGGGTTCCTATCTCCCTAAGATACCCAGCCAAGAACCACTGTGCAACAACAATACCATCCGGCATAGCAAACATCGCAGAAATAAAGTCGAATCGATCGCTCCTCTCCAGGTTGCAGACATGGAGCCACGACGACCAGTATCAGAGCAGCGCTCACGACCATTACGACAACAGTCCACCACATCATCAGAAAACTCAAACAGCAGATCAAAGAGCCGTGGCCATGGCTCAAAGCCCTCATCGCGACGCACTTCCTGTACTATTGTGGACCCATCAAGACCTGCGCGCCACTACCGAGTGAAGAGTTTCCAAACACCCCCCGCCACCACAACCAGCCAAGATGTCGACGATGTTCTCGCTCTGCACTTTCGCAGCTGCAGCATCTTCTCAAATCCATCCTATCAGTCAAATTCCGGTCTTCCAAGC